GGGTCCCGGGGAAGGGGCGGGGCCGAGGGAGGGGCGGGGCCTCACGCTCCCCGACTCCGCCCTGACGCCGTCGCCCGGGAAACCGAGCGTCCTTTCCGCCCCCTCCCCCCGTGTTCCGCGCTAGTCTCCGCAGAGGCCCCTGGGGACCACCCGCGCGTGGCGTGGCCGCCCCTCTGTCCCCTGGAGCGCTCGCCCTGGCGCCTGGGCTGGTGCGCAGCTCCAGACGTGCTGTCACCCACAGCCTTGTGCCTGAGAAGAGGGTCTCACCGCCGGCTTCAGAGACTCTCGGTCTACTGGGCCTGGTGGCTCACCGCTGTAATCCCAGCACTCGCAGGGTGAGGCAGGAGGATCGTTGGGAGTTTGAGGCCAGCCTGGGCTACAAAGTAAGCGCAAGGCCAGCCTGAGCTGCATAGCAAGACCCTGTCTCAAAAAGACCAAAACAAAACAAAACAAAACCAGTAATGACCATGTAGTTAAAATTATGACATTCTCTCCCCTATAGACACAGAAAAAAATAATTTTTGAAATATTTTTTTATTTAAAAAAATAAAAGACCAAAAACATTAACAAACGCACATACATTTACAAAATAACACAAGAATACTACAAGCAATACTGAAGTTCACACAAGGTGATGGTTGTTGTATTACGTATAACAATGGTTGTTGTATTACATATTGATTTCTTCAAAGTGGTTACTCAGGAAAACGAATATAGACAGGCAAGATTGATCAAATAATTAATCATTAACTGTTCCTTTCAATAAAGCAATAGAAGTCAGTAGTATAACTATGTCAGCTAACCTATATACACATATAGACATAATTTCCCCCTTCTTTCTTTTCTCCTTTCCCTCATCACAGTTGCTCTTTACTTTTGAGCAGTTTCCTTTCATTTCACAATGTCTATCATACCTCCTAATTTTATTCACTCTTTCAGGTTCTTACACTAGTGAGTTGTTTACACATGCAGGTCTGATTTATTTCACTTATGAGTATGGTCTCTAATTGTGACCATTTACCTACAAAAGCCTCGAGTTTATCTTTCTTTATACCTGAGTAACATTCCATTATATAAAAATACCACAACTTTTTAATCCATTCCTCAGTGGATGGACATTTGGGTTGCTTCCATGATTTAGCAATTACAAATTGAGCTGCTATAAACATGGGTACACATATATCACTGTGATATGATATTTTCAGTTCTTCTGGGAAAATATTCTAAAGGGGAATAGCTGGATTGAGTGGAACCTCTAGACCTAGTTTGCTGAGAAATCTGCAAACTGATTTCCACAGTGGTTTCACCAATCTGCATTCCCACCAGCAGTGGAGAAGACTTCCTATTTCTCCACAGCCTTGCCAACATTTGTTATTGGTTGATTTCTTAACGCTAGCCATTCTTACTGGGGTAAGATGAAATCTCAATGTTGTTTTAATTTGCATTTCTCAAATGACCAATGATGTTGAATGTTTTTTTGTGTAATTATTTACCTCTTGTATTTCTTTATCTGAGAAGTGTGTCATCATCACAGATGCCCATTTTTGGATTGGGTTTTTGAATTTGCAGGGGAGGGGTGATGTTTTTAAATTCTTTATATGTTCTAGATAGAAGTCCTTTGTCTTGAGGGACAGTCAGCTAAAATTTTTTCCCAATTTTTGGGTTTTATTTTTACTCTGTTGGTGATTTCTTTGGATGTGCATAAACTTTTCAGTAAGATGAGATCCCAGTTGTTGATTCTTTGAAGTATTTCCCATATGGTTTGGTTTTTGTTCATGAACTCTCTGCCTACCCCTATGTCTTCAAGATTTTTTGCCTACTTTCACTTCCAATAGATTTAGTGTTTCTGTTTTAATATTGAGATCTGTGATCCATTTTGTGTTTTTTTTGTTTGTTTTTTTTGGTTTTTTTCTCCGGTACCAGGAACCGAACTCACGACCTTGCGCTTGACAGGCAGGCGCTTTTACCGCTGAGCTAAATCCTCAGCCCCCTGTGATCCATTTTGACTTGAGTTTGGTGCATGGTGATAGACTTGGGTCTATTTTCAGTCTTCGACAAGTGGCAAGCCAGTTTTTATACAGCACATTGTTGGATTTTGTTTCTTAATCCATTCTGCCAGTCTGTTTCCTTTGATTGGTGAATCGAAGCCGTTTACATTAATGGTTATAACTGATATGTGTTGGTTTGTCTTTGTCATGTTATTTATTTGCTATTGGTTTCCTATTTTTTCTCTCTGTTTAATTGCTTGCTTTGCTTGAGGGTTCATTTCTATTGTTGTTCTTGAAACTGTGGTTAGTTTTTCCTCTGTCTGGAATCTTTTAATATTCTTTGTAAGGTTGGTTTGGCACTCATGAAGTTCTTCAGTTGTTCTTTGTCATGGAAATATTTTGTTTCTCCATTGAATTTGAAAGATAGTTTTGCAGGATACATCAATCTTGGTTGGAAGCTGTTTTGACTCAGGACCTGTAACACTTCACTCCAAGCTCTTCTCAAATGGATAGTTTGTGTTGAGAAATCTGCTGTGATTCTGATGGGCTTTCCTTTATAGGTGATCTGTTTCTTTTCTCTAGAGGATTTTAATATTCTGTTCTTTTGCTGTATGCTTGGGATCTTGATTATTATATGTCTGGGTGTAGTTTTATTTTGGTTATGACTAGTTGGAGTTCTATATGCCTCACTTACTGTACATCAGATTATTTTTTCATGCTTGGAAAGTTTTCTGCTATTATTTCTGCAAATATTCTTTTTATGTTCTTTGTGTTGCCTCCTGCTGTTTTGTTGACTCCTATTAGCCTTACAGTATTTCTCTTTGCCTCATCTTGCAGCTCTTGAACTGATTTTTCTTGGTTCCTTGTTAATTTTAAGAGATCCTTCCTTTCACGATCCTTAGCTGCCATGCTGTCTTTGAGATGTGAAATCCTGTCTTTGGCTTCATTCAAGTCATTTTGCCAGCTTTCTTTTTTTTTTTTTTGGTTTTTCTCCGGTATCGGGAACCGAACTCACGACCTTGCGCTTGCCAGGCAGGCGCTTTTGCCGCTGAGCTAAATCCCCAGCCCCTTTTTTGCCAGCTTTCAATGGAAGTTTTAATTTCCTGGATATCTCTTTGAATCTGTTTCATGCATTCTATTTCATTCCTATATTTTTCATTTAACGTTTCCATCAGCTTCCTATCCTCATCTATTTTTTTATATATGTCTTCTTTAGATGTGATGAGCTATTCTTTCATTATTGTTGTCATTTCATTCTTTACCTGAGAGGTTATTTCTGATCTGATGTCTTCTACGGCCTGATGGAGTTGTTTCTTTATTTCCCTTGCAATCATTTCAGCAATTTCAGGTGTGTGTTTACCAAGTTCTCCCATGTTGATGTCTCCTGGACTTGTTCTGGGTGGGGTGGAGTTCTGAGATTTCATTTTAGTCCTTCATCTTCTCATTTTTCATGTCAGAGGTAGAGCACCCAGTCTCCCCCTTCCCTGGCAGCTCAGCAAAGGTCCCTAGCATCCCTAGTGTTCCTGGTGGTCACACTTGCCCCTCAGTGGCCACTGAGATGGGCTGCTCACTCTGGGCTCTTTGGGTGGTTGGTGGAGTATACCTAGTTCTCGTAGGTCCCAGATGTGAACCATGATGTTGGTGGATCGCAGATCACCTGATCCAATGTCTCCAGGCAGCTCAGGGCGCATGCTGCACTGGTGGTGATTACACTACACCTGTTTCTGGGTCCTCTGGGAGGTCAGGGTGCACACAAATCCCAGATGCAAAAATCTTGGTGTCAGCAGTTCGAGGACTGCCAGATCTAATACCTCAGGTGGCGCAGGGCATGCACAGCAAGGGTCCAAATGTGAACCCTGGTGTTCACGGTTCGTGGGCCTTCTGAGCCAGTATCTCCTGGCTGCACCGGAGGCACAGAGGGTGGAGACATGGACTGTAATGGTGGCAGGGTTGTGGGTCACCTGCTCTGTTCCCAGGAAGTAGGTGGGGAATACCTGGTTCTCTCAGTGCTCAGCCATGAATAGTGATGTTAGCGGATCATGGACCTCCTGATTCCGTGTCTCCGGGCCACTCATGGCGTGCCCAGGAGCCAGGCACAGGCTGCACTGGCGGCGATTGTGGACCTCCTGTTTCTGGGACCTACGGGAGGTCAGGGTGCTCGCAAAGCCCAGACTCGAACTGCAGTGTCAGCAGTTCATGGACCGCCCGATCTAGTACCTCAGGTGGTGCAGGGCATGCGCAGGGAGGGCCCAAACTCGAACCTTGGGGTTAGTGGTTTGTGGGCCTCTGAGCCAGTGTCTCTTGGCTGTGCTGGGCACAAAGAGGTTGGAGACACAGACTGTCAGAAAAAATAAATTTAATTAGAACCTTGAATTTATTCAGTAAGTGTTGAGTCCCAACTATAAACCTGGAGCATCAGTGAGCTAAACACACCAAAATCCTGCCTTCGTAGGAGAAGCCCAGCTACAGATGCCCACCAGGTTAGAAGCCTGGTGCTAGGAGCCAAATACAGCAGGGAAGGAAGGGGTGTGGGGATATCTGGCAACATCGCAGAACAGGGAAGGACCCCTCCGTGACAGCTGAGCCAAACCTTGAAGGCGACAACGGGGGGCACAGCCCCGTGGCTCTCAGAGGAAGAGCGGCCCCCATGCAGTGTATCATGAGGAGCTGTGACAGCTACAGACACCTGTGAAACTACTACCTTGAGCACGGCAGGACATTTTAGCCTGGTGCTTACTGTGGCACATGCCTGCAATCCTGGCTAGCAG